ATTCAAATGACAAAGATCATAATTCATCAAAACATGTCAAAATGTGAAACTTATTGATCAAGAAATCAAAAAGTCAAGATTTCATTTTGAAAAGTCAAAATTTCTAAACTTAGAAATTTTTCTAAGTGTTGGAAATTTCGTGTTTTTTTACAACTTTGAACAAATGTTTCACCATGATGCAAGATGATTCAAGATAAACTTCCAACATGAAAGTTTTAGATATACATGAAATCTACAACTTTTATTTACACAACTCCTTCCAAAAGTGCTTGGATATGAAATTATAATTTTAAGAATATGTGGTCATGAAACAAAACACTTAGTGAAATTTTGCCCTAATTTGGTCAGGATTTTGACCCAACTTCATGGCACTTTTTCATATATTTCCAAGGGGAATATTCAAAAGCAATTCAAATATGGGTTTTATATCACATTAAAAGATTTCCAAAATGTCCAAGAACTCCTTGAGATCATTCTTGAGTAGGGAGAATCGAAGAGATGAAGTTAGGGTCTTATCACTTGATTTACAAGGCATTTAGTGATGAACAAAATTCAAATTCAAAATTGTGCTACATAAACTATACTTTGAAGGCCTCAAACTTGTTAGGCTCTCCATAATTAATGCCTTTCACAGCTGTTAGAGGTCTCATTTCAAGCATTCAATGCATGGACATGCTTTATATCCATTTTTGGAAGAAAGGTTACATTGCCATTTTGATAAAGTGCTTTTTTACATAAAACTTGTTCTTGAGCCTTGAACTTGTTCTCTTCTGATCATACAAGTCCTATAACTCATGAGAAATGGTTTAGACACTTACAATCACCCAGCCCATGCTTGTACTACACATTGAAACTTGGTTTCCCTCTTTTCTTCAAAATCAAGTAACCTAGCCAAAAGCTTGTAACTTGTACTTCTGACTTGCCAATGCACTCTAATCATTTTACTTATACATACACAAACGATTTGCCACAAATACACGAATGTACATGCCCTAAAAACAGCTAGAACTCTGAATCACATTCCATACCTCCATTTTCACATAAACTGACCAAAAACTTGAAACTAATTACTCCCTCGTGCGTTTTCAAGCCTTTTGGTTTCTAAAGCTTCTAAACATCATTTGGAACTGATCCCACACCCTGTTACAAAACTGTAACACCATTAACACCATCCTCCATTTTCAAAAATAGAGCTTTGCACTTGGACTTCTCCAGAACTCCTCAGGCCCTTTCAGCTCAAGCTAAGCATTCCATTAGCTTCCTGGAAACTTGAGGAAGCTAGCCCAACCATTGGAACTCCTTGAAAGCTGCTCAAACTTTAAACCCAATACCCTCTTGCAAGATAAGTTTTATAACTTTGGAATTTCTCATACACGCATCATCAATAATTTGTTTGTGAACAAAACATGTAGATATCATTGCCCTAAAACTAACCATGTCTATAGTTTCCATTAATTTTGCTTGAGCTTAGAGAATTTTAAGATTGAAATTTCTGAGATTTTTAGGGTTCAGTTTAGGGCCAATGAAATTCATGCTTATCTTTGATCTATAGTTTTAATGCTTTACATTTCTGAAACCGTGAGGAAATTTGCTACAAGTTTCATGTTTACAGTTTTCATTTTTGTTGAGAAATGAACAAGTTCCAATTGGTCTGGATGGAGGTTGAAGATGAAGTATAACTCAGCGCGCGTTTTGTATCATATATTTATTATTTTGCTTATGTTAATGGATGTATAGCCACCACAGTGGTAGAAGCGCGTGCCTGTAACCTTTGGGACCTGGGTTCGAGCCCCAATGGTACCCTTTTGTTTTTTTTCTTTATATTTTTGCATTCTGACTTTGTTTTTTTGGACAGGCGCTGGGCCTCTTTGGGCTTGTTTTATTTTTTTTGTTTTTTCTAGCTAACCCCCTTATTTCATATTTGCGTCCCTGGCCCAGTTTATTTTATTTTCTTATTTTTATTTCATTTATTTTCTTAAATATTTTTCCTAATACTAAAAAGTCATAAAAAATACAAAAATAGTAGATTTTTATTTTAACTTAGTTTATTTATTTTTCTCACACAAAAATTATTTTATTAATCATACTTTATTTATTTTTACTTATTATCTTGTAAAATTAATTAAAACTAGGTTATTAGTTATTTTCTTTTACACCAATTAAAATATATTATTTTAATATTAAAAAGGCAAAAAATACTTTATAACACTATAATTATTTTCAAGACAAAAAATACCAAAAATACTTTTCTTACAAACTTATTTTCTTTTAATCAATTAATAGAATTAGGATTTTATTTAAAATCTTTTCTTAATAAATTTAAGTTTAATTAATTATTTTCTTTAATTAATTAGGTTAATACAAATTCCCTTTTCTCATAAAAACCAAACAAAGATCCATTTTCTTTACATTTTACATTTTTGTACATTTATTCATTTTGTACATTATATTCATTTAATTTCTTGTACATTTATACCAATTCAATATGGTTGTAATAGACTAATTAGGTTTAAATTCTTGCAATCCCCATTTACAATTTGTACACCCCCTCCCACAAGTATTGTAATAGCGTAGTAACTTTAAATTCCACAATTTATCGCTTTATACATAACATGCTAGCAATTAGGGTTTATATGGAAAAACTAAAACCAATACTTAGAAAACCCTAATCCAAGACAAAATCAAGCATGAAAACAATACACTTGCACACAAGCACCCCCTAGGGTAAATCCAATTGGTTGACTTTACAAAATGGCCATATTATGCATGTGAGGTATCCTAGCAAAAACAAACAAAAATACAAGATCATAGTCCCTCGATGATGCTATCTAAGTTGCCTTTCAAATGATCTTAGTCCCTAAAAAAGAATGCTAAGATACCTTGCAACATTGCTAATCATGGTTATACGATGACCCACGCCCGTCCCATTTATATCCAAAGATAGGGTTACTTACCAAATCAATGGTAAGATAACAATATCAAAAGGAAAGAAAATGAACAAGAAATATTTTTGAGTAGGTAGAATGCTCCTAATTACTTGCTCAATTTCAAACAAAACATCCTTGCTATTTTTAAAAATAAACACCTACACTTTCAAACATCTTTCAAGCTTGAAAACATTTTCAAAAGATCAAACACTTTGTATACATTCTTACGAACGAGAATCATTACAAAGTTTGCCTAAATAATGGCCTCTTTACAAAATACTTTCAGAAAACCACACAAAGCACAATTTCAAACAAAAATCAAGTGATCTAGAAAGTAACTAAGAGCCCTTGGAAAACCATGGATGAAAAGGGTGCTAATACCTTCCCTTTTCATAATCTACCCCCCGAAATCAAGAAAACATCTCAAAGGTCTTTCTTGTGCTTTTTCACCTTTCCTTATTGGATAAAAGAAAAGTCGGTGGTGACTCTTGCTAAACTGCAACATTTACGATGAAACGCAAAACCCTCAAGTCAGTTCTCCCACTGTATCACACTAAGTAATAGTAACAAATATAGTAAAGCGATAAATGTACTAAAAATAAAATTCTACGCTATTACAAGGTTGTCATACCCCAAATTTGTCCTACCTATTTTTCTCTTATCTGGCTTAGGCTTTGCATTTCATTTGCATCATTTTCATTAGGTTAATCACACATCATTCCTTCATTCAATAAGGCAGTGGTTCAGTATCATTGGTTGTTCTAATTAGGGCTTCACTTTAGTTTGAGTTTTCTTCATCAGATAAAGGCAGATTCATCTAGCAGTGGGTAGTGGAATCAGGTTTTGATGTATGGTTATCATGAGTTTCTATACAAGGCCATTCAACAAGATCTTGGATTAGGGTTTCTTTCCCTATGGGTGATTAAAAATCAGGGTTTGTTAGCATCATGCCTCAGCTAGGGTTAAAATTTTCAAGTGTTCAGTATGGCTAATTATTGATTCTCTTAGGCTACTTCATGAAAGCTTGGCCTATAATATCAAGAGCATAGTCAAGACTTCATCATCACCGGTTCACATGGGCATCAATATTCTTTGGAATGCATGGAAAGATCATATTTGTACGTCAGTTCAAAGCACTTCGACCAAAAGTCAACTTTTTGCAAGATCAAGTTCAAACAATTATAACTTCTTCATTATTCAATATTTTTGAATGGCTCTTTTTGCATATAACTCTCTTTGATGTCATCTCCAACTCCTCTTTACTAGTCAAGATCTGATTATGTGTGAAGGATCATCAAAAGTCAGAATACTTTAGAGATCATCATGTGGAATTTGACCTAATTTCAAAATAGTTGTGCCCAACTTCCAATGATCATAACTTCTTCGATTATCGACATTTTCAGATGATTCTTTTTTCAAATTGTAATAGATGATGTCGTCTACGACTTTTCTTCAAAAGACCAAGGATAAATTATGCTTAGAATACCTTGAAAGTTATTGAATTATCATAGGTCATGTTTTGACTTAGAATATTCTTAACTTCTACTTTCAACTCATATTAAGTTCTTCAAAGGCATTGTTCGTTACGGTGGATTGAAGTATAAGATACAACTCATTTTGATCGGTGTAATTTTTGGTTTTTTTCTTCATCACATACTATTGACTTGAGTTTGAAAATTAATTTTGTAGAATTGTAAAATAAGGATTTTAAGTTTGTCATGTGAAATTAGAACCCAGTTTCTTGGGGTACAAGTCAATTTGAAATTGGTTCATAGAGATTTGAGATGATTTGAGTCAAATGACATCAAGTGGTTAAACATTCATTTTGTGCAAGATTTTAATTCAAGTTGAGAATGAAAGATCACATAAGAGGATTATTCAGAATTTGAGATTTACAAACTCAAGGTTCATTCATGTTGAATTAGTTTAAGTTATCAAAGGCAAGACGTTCATCAAAATACATTCATGATTTAAGAAATCATTCCATATGATTCTACCCTAATAAATTGCAAGATTTGAATACAAAAGTTCAAAATCTTGAAGATATTTCTCGTACAAGGCATCACTTAATTGATGTTACAAGGGGATAATTTCAAGTTACATCAATACCATAAATTGTTCCTTTTACACTTAAAAGTACTACGAGAAAAGTTACATGTTTCTAAGCCTAATCCTAATATCCTAAACATCTTTAGTGCAACCCAAAACCTGCTGACTATTTCAGTACAAAAACAGAGTTTGCTGCCAAATACTACAAAATCATGCTAAGCTGCATTACAGTCCTAAAATCATGCTACAAGGTCAAAAATCCAAGCAAATAACCTTGTTTTCCAAACTCTGTAGTCCAAGCCTGCCGCTACTAGCCCAAAACCATGTCAAAAATAGCATGTAATACTGCTCCATATCAAAACCTGCATCACATTGCAAAACAAACAAAACAATCCAAAAAATCTACAAAGTTGCCCTGCCAAATCTGCACCATATCAGTCTAATATTTGCATAAACTTAGCAAAAACAAAAACTGTGTTGAAAAGCTACAAAACAGCCAACTGAATCTATTCAAAGGCATCCTATTTCCCCCCCTAAAAGTCCCTTAAATTCAGATATAAAACAGTTGGAGGGATGGATGGAAAAGGAGAGAGAATTACGAGAGAAATATTGAGGCAAGAGGGAGAGAAGATTCAACTTAAAAAAATAGTAGAGAAAAAACCATTGTTCCTTTAAAATTTCAAGAGCCATCCTCCTTGCATCACTCAAATCTTGCACTCAGTCCAACAAAACAGAAATAGACATTAGCATTCACATATAGAGCAGAAGAACTCAAGGAAGCAGCTGAAGAAAATTCAAAAAAGGTGGGAGGATATACCTGAGAGCTACGACTTCAAATCGAACAGAGCAACGAGAAGAGTTGAAAGATGTGCTTAGAAAATAAAAACAAAATGATGCCCTCTTCATCTACAGGCTACTGCATAATTTCCATATTGACTCCTCTCTTCAATTCGACCCTTTAATCTCTGTGTACCCCTCCTCCAGCCTTAACCTTACTCATCATACAATTCCACCATCTCACGATATCACCCTTTCTCCTTAACAACAACACTACTGGAACTTCCGCCCAGTTCCAACATAATCTCACTGCCACAACAATACTCTGCCATTCACTAAGCCAACCAAACATTAATCCTTCTCGACACACAGAATCGCGGTTTGTTCATGGTGGCCGGACAATAAATCACGGTGGCTGATCAAGGAAGATGAAAGAAGTTTAAGCAGAAATGAGATAAGAGGGGGAGAAACACTGGAAAAATAGAGAAGAGAGCACGGGACAGAGATACACAAATACTGCAAAACTTCTACAGAAGTTACTCTGAAACATATCCCAAAACTTTGCTCAAAATTCTACAGACCCCCTCAACCTACAACAAATTCAACTCAAACCCTTGTATCCTCCACTTCCAAACTTTTTCCCTTTTAATCCTTCAATTTCAGTCTAAATCTTCATCACCTATTCAACAACTTTCATACCATCTTCATCCAACACCATGAGTAGCATATTGTAACCAAACCCTCCAAAATAAACCTTCCTTCAAAGTTCCATAAACACAATTGTTGGAGCTTCAAACATTTTTCAACCACCTGCATCAACATTTCAGCATAATTCTGTGCATAAGTCTCATCTAAAAATCAATTCAACTAAAGTAATAACAACAAATGAGAAAGGAGCTTAACGCTTACCTACTAGAAAACTCTGTTGGTTCTTCAATCGCGACGCCAAACGAGAAAGCTAGAGAAAACATCTTCAGATTCAGGTTTGTTCTCCCTCTTCTATATGCGATTCTGAATCCTCTTCTTATTTCTCATTTTCTTCTGCCTTTTTTGTATTATGCCATTGTTGTTTTTGCTGTTTGTGATGCGTAATTATGTGAATTGATGCAATGATTCAAGATACAGAGAAGCGTTTTTGTTGTTGTTGCGATGTTGTTGATCGTTATTGTGTTCTTGTAAAGATGAAGATGACGATAATGATGATGTGATGAAGATTGAAGGGGTGTTGCAGTGATGATGAGGATGATTCATTTGCAGAGAAAACTCTATTATAGAGATGTGAGTGAAAGAGATGGAAAAGAAAATTGGAACAGAGGGATAGAGAGAAATCGTGAATTGATGTTTTTGTCTTGAATTAATAAGAGTTTTTATGGATAATTAATTGGGAATAAAATTAATTAAATTAAACTTTCCCTCTCCTTAGGCACCGGCGCCCCCTTTCAAAAGTTAGGGTTCCAAGATCTAAATCTCTCTCTATTCTCTCTTAGATGGATCCAGGTTTGGGCCTAGCCCAAACCATTTTTCAAGTTTTTATTTTTATAGTTTATGAGTAGTATAATAAATTAATGAAGTGACGTAGTGCAGTGGTCAATGCGTTGTGTGTGAAAACTAATGGTCCTGGGTTCAACACCCACCAGGAGCATTTTTCACTTTCTTCTCCATTTTTTTTTTGTTTTCGTATATTTAACCTTATACTTATTTATTTGTTTTATCTTCTTTAATAAATTATTAAATGTTAAATATTTATTTATTTTTTCTCTTGCTTGCAATATTTTTTTTAAGTTAAGATAAAATATTAGATTTTATTTCTTTATTTGGCCGATTATTGATGCTAGGATCCCTTTAAGAGATTCTATGAAACGATTAGTCGTTTTGCATAAAATTAGACCTTAGGTTAGAACCCATGCATGACAACAATTAGGGTTTTTATAGTCTCCCTCTTAAACTCTTTCTTCATTTAAAATAAAAATTTCTTTTCTTAATCAAAAAATCCAAAAAACACTTAATCATTATTCAAACTCATTCACAATTAACGAAAATACCCAACAAAGAAAATATTCCCTCAAAAGGGCATGTTATCTCTGTTCTATCGCGATACAGGTCATGCTTATTGCTAGAACGCACACACGTTAACGTTGCCCACTAAAAAACACCAACAAACCAACATTTTCTAGAGGAACTACGGTATTCTGATTCCTTTATTGGATACGTAGGAAAAGGGTTGCGAGACCCTCATGAACGCACCAATAAAAAACCATTTCTTTCCCCTTAGTAAGTATAGTTATAGATAAACACACCCTTAGAAGCAAAAAAACAAAATGGATCTTGTTGAGTACAACAGATGTGAAGGGTGATAATACCTTCCCCTTGCATAATCGAATTCCTTACCCTCTCTCTTGGTTGCAAGACCATCTTATCCATCCTCTTGTGGTTTTATCGATATTTACCCTTCCTTCGGGATAAATAAAGTTTGGTGGAGGATCTGTGTTTATTTCTGGTACCTTCAGCTGGCGACTCTGTTGGGGAACCTTTGCGAGTCTATCCTAGTTTTATATATTTGTCTCTTTGGGTGTTTATTTATTTACTTTATTTTCTTTACCGCTTTATTGATTTCTTTTGTATATATTGCTTTATATTGTTGCTACTCACATATTCTGGTTATACTATATCTTTTGTGATGTGGGGTTGGGTGATTACGTTCGATAAGTCCTATACTCGGACATTGGGTTACACATAGGATTAGGACGGGTGGTATAGTCATGTTAACTTTGAGGGAGTAATCCCGAAGAAGGAGGCATGAGATCCCCCACTCAATAGAGGTCCCCTTGAATGTAACATTGTTTATCGAGTAATCGGGAAGTTATTTCTACTTTCGACCTGGGAGCCAGAGAAGCTGAGAGTCGTAAAACCATTAACCCATCATGTCCTTTTTAGGTGTAGTGCAAAGACTATATCAGAGTAATCCAGAAGTAGTTGTCACGCGCTGCTGCACTCAGACGAGTTTTCCCCGCGAATATTAATGATTTCCGAGTAATTGGGATGTCGGTAATATCCAAATGAAGAGCTTAGACTCTAAGGTTTCCCTAGAACCTTGTTCGGCTGGTGATAAACCCCTAGTACATACCTTATGGGTGGTTACTTTGACTCCATGCCTGTGATGTCAGACTTTTGATCCTGTTACTTCCAGCTTATGCAAAGGACTACACAATGGTTATCAAGAATATGTGGAGCTGAGATCTCATGCCTAGCATACCATGACATCATACCATCATGTTTATACATCTCATATCTAAGGAATTCCAAAGACAAGTCTCGTTGGTCGAGCTCTTCAAAAATGAAAACAAAAATTTTAAAAGATAGACAAGTCTTTGGATTTCCTCGGAAATGAAGATGAAACATTCATTCATACTATCATGCATTCATTATTCACAACAAGAACTTATTTGGGTCCCTTTTCAATCAGACTTCAGTAAACAACAAAGATGACTTCCCTACATCCCTACCGTACAAGAAGAAACAAGCGAAGACTTATGGATATTTTTGAAGAAAATCAGAACGCTCTCCACTGAGATATGGACACCATGGTCACTCGAATGGATCAGATTATGGAAACCCGTCATGCTTTTATCAAGGGTCAAGAAGATCTACATCAAAGTGTTGCCAAGCTTGCCACTATAGCCCCCTCCACTTTTTCAAATGGAGGGAATAATAATGCAAATATTGAGACCCCTACTGGAGTTCCTCAGAATGATGTTGATGATCATCACGATGTCATCGATCTTGATGAGCCCCATGCAAATCTCGCGGCTGGAGTTGCTGAAACTGCAAAAATGTACCATGCTCTTGAAGAGCGTCTCAAAGCCATGAAGGGTATTAAGACTTCAGAATTCAATACTACTGCAATGTGTCTCGTACCCGGGGTAGTTATCCCTCCCAAATTCAAGGTTCCTTATTTTGACAAATACAAAGGAACCTCCTACCCAGAGACTCACCTTCGTTCCTACTGCCACAAGATGGAAGCCTATGCTAAAAATGTACCATTACTTATGCACTTCTTCCAAGATAGCTTGACCGGGGCACCGTTGGATTCGTATATGCAACTAGAAAGAAATCAGGTCGGTACTTGGGGAGAGCTTGTTGACGCCTTTTTGAAACATTACCAGTATAATATGGCTGTGGCTCCTAGACACACTCAGATTCAAGGGATGATACATAAATCTGAATAGTCTTTTAATGAGTACGCCCAAAGGTGGCATGAACTGGATGGAAGGGTCCAACTTCCTCTCTTGGATCGTGAACTAATTGTTTTGTTCATGGGTACTCTACGAGGTCCTTATCTCTAACACATGCTCAACAGTATCTCTACTTCTTTCTCTGATATGGTCATTATTGGATAATATGTTAAAACTTGTATTAAGGCTAGAACGATCCAAGGTATCCCT